GATTTTTTTTCCTTTTGTCAAATCTCAAAGACTTTCTAGGCGAATATGCCAAACAAAATATTGAACCCACTTTTTGTATAGCTTTATTAATACCAAAATACAATTTACAAAATACAATTTATATACTGTTTTTATAAAATTAGTCATGTTATTACTTGTTTTGTTTGTTGTGCAACGATCTATGTAGTAAAAATACTGAAAACAAACCAGACTAAAAGCATGCCTATGTAACTTTTTTTTGCCATCAAGCCTATAACAGTTATACTCACAGGACATCCATTCTTTGCATACATGTTAAAAAATAGTCAAATGTATTTGTAACAGACATGTTTTGTTTGTTATATTTTTTATTAAAGTATTAAAAACGCAAAAATGTCTGACTATTTTTGAGCACACAAAGTAATGATATACTGTAATTACATGGCCTGATTTATTGAAATTTTAAAATGACAGTAAATTTTTAGATATAGTGGTAGATTTTATGTTAATCTTTTAGCAGTATGCAAGAGTGAAAAGATTTTGTCAGTTAAAAGTCTTTTACATTATTCTACACTCTAAACAGAGTAACCAAAATATATTTATAAGTATATATTACATTACTACGAAAAGCATGCTTTTCATAGTAATGTAATATATACTTATAAATGCTTTAGTATTAAACTGTCACGACCAATTTATTTTAACGATAAAATTATTAACCCCTCCAATACAAAAAATCAAAAAAAAGCTTTCTAATTTTTAAAACAAAAGTTGCAACGAATCAGAGCTTGTATTTAAGTTACAGTAGGTCATGACAAAAACTACATTTTAAATAGTAGGCTTATTTGTTAAACTCCTATTCCAACCTTGTCTTTTACGTCCTTAAAAAAATAAATTATTCTTTCATTTGCAAGACCACTGGTCCACACTCAAACCCTCAGTTGATGTTTGTACACTCAGCTGCACTTAACCCAAGTTATCCCAGTTTGCAGATCCCCTATTTATCCGAATTAGAGCACATAAAGTTTGATTCAAAAGCTTCTTTTTTCATTGAAATTCTCACTTGACTATTCTGTAGTACAGAATACTGTCGTATGTATTTGATGTGCAATTTTTTGCATTTGGATGTGTATTTTGTTTTGTTTTGTTTGTTTGTGGAAGTTTAGTTTAAAAAAGCAATGAATGTCAAAGTATTTAGACTAGGGTGCTAGTTTTTTAACTTTTTTTCTCAGAAATAATTTCCTGTAGCACGAATGGATGAACTTTTTCGGCAATTTACAAAGCATCCTTGAGTGAAAGAAGTCGCATGCCACAGAAAAATCAAGTCATTAAACGCTTCAAATTTCTTGAATCCACCACCAACTAACGGAGAGAGATAATCAGTCAAATTGTTGTTGAGCTTAAACCCCTATGGAGTAAAACATTGAACTTTCCACATGTATACAATTAAGTCATTTGTGCAAAATTAGCAAAACCTTTGAAAGTCTTTGAGCGCTGCAGATGGAAAAAAATCTTTTATGTATTAAATAAACTGTTTGACGTCACTAAGGTTAAAGGCAAATGGTTGTGCAAAGAGGATGAGAGCATGTATCATCTGCAAATTGAGAGCAAAGGTCAGGTTGATTCTTCTACTGGCAAACCTAAGGCCATCAATCCGTCCAAGCGAAAAATGGTAATCAAGTTGACATTGCCCACAGTTACCAGCTTATCGCAACCTGATTGGTCTGAAAGTAGCACAGACTCTAACTCATCTGAAAACAGCAAAGACAAAGCATAACCCAACACGCATTGCAAGACGTCTTATTACAATCTCGAAGCTGTCTTCCCACGAGATAACAAAGGTGTGCCTCAAGCTTTCAGGTGAATGCATTGAAATCCCAACCCCATGCTAGTCAGCAATATACAAAGCTATAAACATAAAAGCTGTTCAAGTGAAAAAACACTTGGTGAGAACGCTTCGACGGGAAATATGGAGCGTATACTTTGACAGCAAACACATTGATGGTTTCGAATATCAGGCAGTGGTTCTCAAGAATGGACCAAAAAAAATTAAGTTGACTGCACTTAATGTTTGAAGAAAAAAGTTACCACAAACCAAAGTTCATCAATTTCCAACATCATGTGCTAGATCACATTCTTCGCGTTGTCATGGACGGTGAGTTTAATGGAATGACTAAATCACCAAACATTAAGTACTTCTTTGTGAAGGATTTGATGAGCAATTATGATAAACTGATAATTAGCCTTCAGCAACGGTAAAAATAAGATTAAGATAACAGATGGCTTAAGAGACGACCATCTTACTTGTATCTCCCGTCACCACTCTAAGATGAATAAGATACCCTTCGCAAAGTTTCAACAGATCCCAAACATCAGCAATGCATGCTGGAAAAATTAACCTCAAAAATTAGGCAAAAAAGCTAATAATTAAAAAATTTTAAATCACTTTGTGCGTGACATTTTTTTATCAAATCACCTTGAAAGTTAAATGATCGTTTATCCTCAGCAAAATAACTCAGGAATAATGTTGAAAATCCGGATCATGTATGAAAAAAGGCATTCAAGCTTTTCAATGATTTGATTAAGTAGCTGCATTGGATTTACTTGCTTGAAAATTATTTTGCGGACATTGCGGACAAACGGCAAATTTCTATAATGAGATTCTCTTTGTTCACATCTTAAGAATAAAACCGTGCAAGTTCTCAAGCTTTACTTTAAGCGAAAAAATTATCATTATTTAACCAGACAAGTAAAAACATATTGCCAACTATCCTGCTTGCCTCAAATTTTGAATCAATCTGCTGGATCAGACTATTCAAACCAACATTAAAAACGTTCACTTTGATATCTTTTGTTTGGCTGTCGTTGAAAAAAGGCTGTGTTTGATGCCTCATTGTGAAATCGCTACAATTTACGCTTTCTTTTCGTACCAAGTTCAGTTTCAAATCCTAGCAGTCCAGCTACAACCTCTTAGAAAAGTTGCAACCAATACCCCTGTTTAAGATCTTACAGCAGCTGTCCAATCAAACGTAGCTCGTCATTAATGGTAAATGCTTTAGATTGTAGAATACGACTAACGACTTTAACAGCAGCAAGGGTTTTGTACCAAATTGTATTTAGCAATACAACTTTTAATGATGATAATCATTTTTTAAAGTCTGTTGTTTGACAGAGCTGCTCACTGGTTACATCAAAATTTTCCATGGCATGTTTTTATGTGCTGCCAACATTTCTCTCGACAACTTGGCCAGTGGTTTGATCGAGTTGGTACGAGAGCGTTATATTGTCATAAAAAAAGCAATTCATTCATCGGGCAAGACTTGTTCTACAAAATACGTACCAAGATTCAACATTTTCAAAGAATACTTTGATCTCAATGGCTTATTCAACTTCATGTACACCATCCAAATTCAGACTGGGAGCGCTACCATACATAGGGTTGGACTAGCTCTTTTTGGCGGCCCGGGAGATAATATTTTTAGCGGCCTTCTATAAAGTCCTAAAAAAATCACATAATTTGTAAATAATGTGTTATTTAACTCTTAGGTTATAAGTTTATTTATTACCATATTAAAAGTACATAATTTAAAAATCAAAATTTTAACTTACCACACTTAATTATATTGTCAAAGACTTTTTTTATATTAGTGGCCCTTTGATTTATATTAGTGGCCCATTGTAAGTAAGATATCAGCGGCCCACCGGGGCTTCCTCCTGCATCCCGGTGGACAAGTTTAACCCTGACCAGATATATTGAATCTATTACCATGTACCTGAACGCGACTGTTTCAAATATCCATATTAA